CTTTCTTAAGAATTGCTCACTGCTGCTTCCTACATATCTGGCATCATCTAGCATAGCCAGATTAATCCACACTTGGCTGGCAGACTTGAAGCAGCACCTGCAAGGGAGGGATGTGAGGGTAATCCAGGAACATTGTTCAATCCCTATAGCCTCTAGGCTATGGGGAGTAAATCCTTGGTTGGCAGATGCTTTTTGCGAGCTTTTAAATTATATAGAGCGTCTAAATTAAAATATATTTTCAATATGGTGTCTGGGGGAAATAAACTGTCTCTTAGAAGCCAGACAGAGTTTACCAATAGTTTTTCTTTATTCACAAGACCAGAACAAGTGCAGTTCTGGGAAGTGACCCCTTTGAGTTGTTGCAGCTAGCACGTTTACAACACATCGTTTCATTGAGATACTGTAGTTCACTTGATCTAGAGTTAGAAAAGCCACATCAATGGTCTTCCAGAAACTAGAGAAAGTTAGACTTTGAGGTCTTCTTCCAGCTTTTTAGCCATATCTGGGAATCATGCAATAATTGGAACTCTATTTTTAACAGACTCCATTGCGATTTGCCTGTTGATAATATATGGTTTGTGCTTTTTGCGTTTATGTGGTATTAATGATGGCATTTTGGTTATCAATTTTGTAGATAAATGTCTGCCTTGAATGTTCAACACATAAACACTCTCTAAAGCAAATCTGTAGCAAATGAAGCAAGATCACGGCATTGTAGAACAAACTGGAACATTTCAGATATCTGCTTTACGATTTATATTTATGCTCCTATTGGTGATTTTTCAACAGTGGGAAATCAGTGGATCGGGCTTTTTAGATTTGGTCAGTGACACCATAGTAGTCACTGACCAAATAGCCGAAGGATCACCCGAAGCTACAGCTGGATCCTTCTCCTTTGTGAATAGCCCCCTTAATGTTCACTGGAGATGGCTCTATAGTTCTCTTCCTGTTATGGAGTGCACTCTCTGACTATCAGGTCACAAGGGACAGCACAGCAGTTGTCCATCTACTAGTTTAGAAGAGGGAGGAGCAGAGGTGTGGCTTTCCATTTTAGGCTTTGCAACTGTGTGTAAACAAAAAATATAGACTTTAATCTTACTTAATTTTTTTTTTTTTTAATGAAAGATCTACTTTAAAAGAAGTGAAAAAATTTGTTACAGGACAAAATGGGCTTTAATTTAATGTGATATATGCATATATGAATCCTTGCGAAAAAAACAGTTTTTTACAGCTTTAGCAATAATAATGTGTAGCTAACTGTCACAGGTATGTGATCACAGCGATCAGGTCTCGTTGTGATCACAGTACTGTGACCAACTAATCTGCTGTTGAGGGTCTGCCTTGGACTCTGAGGGACCCATCAACAACAGATACTCAATGAGCTGTTGGTCCCTTCACAGACCTGCGCTCATTGTACCGCGTGTGATGGGATTATCCCCGTCATCGGTTGTTAAGGAACTGAATGATCGCGACAAGATAATCCCATCATCAGTCGGGAAGGGGTTAATGGCAAACACATTCTCACCAATGCTCCCACACAGAAAAACTGCCTTGCCAATTATTAGAAAATTGGCAGGCTCTGGTGGCCGCTGTACTCCAGGATAAGCAAATATTGTCTAAATACAAGAGGGATGTGTACTAGTACTTGGATATTAGTGTGCTTTGTGTATGTTTTCCAGGACCAGTATTCCAGTGTGAAACTTTTCCTCTGTGCAGGAGCTTACTCTAATAAAGACCATTCACTGCTCCTCTCTCTCCCTGTGCAGGGAGATGGTCTTGTATCCACCCCCTCCTGTAATATTCTGCAGGCAGAGTGTAGTGGGTGGGGCCTGCTGGGTCCGTCCCACAGTTCTGCTCTCGGCACAGGCTATATGCAGCACAGTGATGATGTCACTGCTACTTTTATATGGTAATAGCAGAGTCTGCAAAGGTGTTTGCTGCACACAAAGTGAATTTATATCCTTTGTGGCTATTGAGGAATATATTCAAATGGATGTTTTGGTGCCCGGAGGTGTTCATAGGTGGAGTGAGCAAAGCCTATGTCCCTCCACTTTTGAATGAACCCAAATATATTTTTCAATTATGTATTCAATGAATTTTTCAATCATGCTATCATGTCTTTCTTGAAAGGGGTGGTATAAATGGAGTGAGCGTATAACATCTGCAATGAAAATTATTAGTGCCCCCCCAGATCTGACTGTGGTATCTTATGTGCCCCCCCTAAATATTGTTCCTAGAGTCGCCACTGCCGGAGGTTAGCTTTAATATGTGCATATGATGGTGCAAATCTCACAGGGTTTAAGTGAACCTTCTCCCCATCTGCTGTGTTTCCAAGCACATCCAAAACACCCTTGGATTCTAAGCATAGCTGACACAGTGCCTGCTCTGAGGATCACGGCTTAATCTCAGATACATCTAGCTGTAATAGGCTACAGGGACTTGCACACAGCAATAAATGTTGCTGGAAGCTTTTATGTGTAGTCCAGATTTTGTTAAGGCTCATACACCATGGCTATCTGAGAGTTGTGATATTCCATTGTTGACTCTGGTCAATGTCACTGCTGCTTGCTGCACCTGCTTTCCACCAGAGGGAGTATCCATGTTGTCTTGCCACAGAGGCTTAACAGCTGGTGGTGTGAAATATTAAAGTTCAGCCATCAAATTATTTAATATGTGGATTACTTGGTTAGTTTACCTCCCTTCTTTACTATATATGGACTGTTTAGTGATTGAACACTCATTTCATGATTTTTAAAGACATTTGGAGAAAGGGTTTTATAGAAAGCCTTATATTTTATTCTGTTCAAGGGACCGCACCTTTGGCAAATCAGCAAAACCAGCGTCCCAGCCAGGACTGCGCTACAGCCACCAGCAGTCACTACGAAGGCATTTTTGATTCTTGTGTTGTAGTGAAAATATCCAAATTCCTTTCGAAATTATGGGAATGTTCTGCATTAGTGCAGCTGACACGAAAGGAATGGAATGGTGGAACCATTCCTCAACAATTGTGTAAATATAATAATGTCTCTTCATGAGTTCAGGAAAATATGAATATTACACTCCCAAGTCCAATTTAAAGATTCATAACTGGAAAGAAATGCGTGCTATTAATCCTAGCTATGGGGCCAAAATACAAGATATGGATGTAAGAATTCAATTTGAGGGAACAGTTCATGAGCGTGTATTGATATGCACGTACTCAGTATTGCCAGCAAGAAGTACTGAGTGATGAGACCTAATAATCTTTCGTTTGGCTGCCTAACTTACAAGTTTAAAATTATGGCAGACATTGTGCTAAGGGTTAAAGCTTATGGCCCATGCTTAAACATGTATAACCTTTTAGAATGTAAGCCCTCACGGGCAGGGCCCTCCTTACCATCTTGTCTTGAATTGTATTGTGATTGTAATGTCTTCCTTATATTGTAAAGCGCTGCGCAAACTGTTGGCGCTATATAAATCCTGTATAATAATAATAATAATAATAACTGAAAAGTGTTGTGGGGCCCGTTTATGCATTTTCATACTGTCCGTTTTCACTTAAAGCAGACGTTTACACTCAAAAATCTAATTCTACAATGCATTCCTCTATGTATGATGAGTAATAATAACAGACATGTCAGGTGTAAAGTGCTGTGATTGTGAAATACTTACACTTGCAGAGCATTCACTTCCTGCTTTGAAAGGGCAAAATGACTTCAGTTTGCCAAAGCAATGCACACTGGGATTGCCTTGTCATCAGCAGAACACTGCCGGGAAATCTCATCTGTAATCTCAGGAGATCTCAGGGAAAAGCATTTTCCTCTCCTGAGATGATGTGCATGGCCACATGTCCTGGTCACATGTGCCAGTAATCCAGGAAGTAATCGGAGAGCTAGTAATCTGCCCTTAGTAAACATGGCCACTGTCAGAAGACAGGGGAATAAAAGAGAAATAAGGTGTGCAAAGAATACAAAGCCTGCAATTATCTAGAAGTATGTGTTTGTAGATTGTCATTACTAAACATTTAGGCGTGTTTGTAGTCAGTGGCATAACAATCGCCATTAGATGAGGGTGGTGTACGGAATGGAGGAGGCGGTGCCCGCCTCCTCTTACATCACTGGCCAGCGACCTAAGAGCAGGTGGGGCCAGTGATGTAAGAGAAGACGGGACCTGTCGATAGCAGAGGAGGCTGGGCCCAGGGACGGAACAGGAGTCGGGGCCCGGGGACCACAGAGGCCCTGATAGGTAAGAGATCTCAGACCCTGCAGAGCCCACTATAGAGAGTCTATGGTGGGCTCTGCAGGGTCACTCTCTGCTGGGGCTCTGCAAGTGGCATAACTAGCAATCACAGGGCCCCATACAAAATTTTGCTATGGGGCCCTGTGATTTCTAGTTACGCCCCTGTTTGAAGTTATTTTAAAGATATGGATAAAGGTCCACTTTAAGCCTAGGTTCAAACTTGTGCTTCTGCATAATTATGTTTCATTGTGTTTCTTTATTTATTATTATTGGTATTCATATAGCGTCAACAATTTACACAGCGCTTTACAAACTGTTCATGGACATCATTCCCTGTCCTCAAGGAGCTTTCAGTCTAGGGTCCCACATGTAATCATAGTAGGTTAGGTATTAGTGTTAAGGTCAGTGTTAGTGTGTTTTAGGTATAATAGAAACATTTTTTTTTTAAATGTGTAATATTGTTTCTGTTGTATTGTTACTACTACAACAAATAATGTACACATATATGGTATCTCCATGCATCAGGAGTACAAAAATCAACTTTTTATTTTCTTTTAACGTTTAAGTTTAAAAAAAAAAGATATTTCGGCTATTTTTGGGCCATATTTCCATTGATAAATAAAAATCAGGAGATATCCATTAACATGTACCTGTAACATCATCATTAACATGTACCATCACATCGTCATTAGGGAATTAATTTATGTACTCTATATAAAAAGTTATGTGCATGTGTAACACTTCTTTTTTTTTTATTCTAGGTGATAAAATTCATGTGCAAGCCATACCCATGTTTGTAACACCCTAGCAGATAATATGGAATCCAAAAGTAAGATCCTGCAACAAGTGAGGGACAAGGTTGCCTCAGCACACAAGGACTGTTCCCCGGCTGAAAAGCTACAATTCTACAATGAATGGGCCACCCAGTACGAAGAGGTAATAATATCTGCAATAGTCTGAAGGAAAGTGGTCTATTCAGTGAGTCTGCCTCATTTAAAAACTGATCCAGAAACATCAAAATATATAAATTAAATACCAATATTCCCTCAATAGATTGTGTTTAATGTAGGGTGCACCGATACTTTTCAGATACCAGTGCAGATATTTGGCATTTTTATGAGAACTACCAGGGTTGCAGCGGTTGCAGCTGGGACTGGGCTCTGGCGCTCCACCACTGTCTTGAAATCATTAGTCTGTATTGTTTTAGAAAAACTGTCACATGACAATAAACAAAAATGTATCAGTATTTGTACTTGCAAAAATGGTATTGGTGCATCTCGTTATTTATATTTATAAAAACGAAATCATACATTAAAACAGAGATGTACAAATCCCAGGAGCTCCGTATGCTCCTTACAAATCACAGCTGCCTCCTAACTTTTGAATTTTTCTCTAGTCTAGTCTTGGAGCTGGAAAAGTATCTGTACTTGTACTTGTACCGAGTACAGTACTTGGTATCGGTGCATCCCTAGTTTAATGTGTGACTTTTGGTGTTGTGTGGAGGAGTTTTTATTAATCATCTTAAACTCTGAAGGCCCACAGCACCACATCTTCTGTAAACCAGTTATCTGTGTGGGTGACCATATTCTACAATATAGCCTCACCTGGCCACTGCAGATAATTATTCAGAACAAACCCAGAACGAAGGCAATATCACATTGTAAATTAGGGTCTGTTGACATCTGTACATTGCATTAACACACTGTAAAATGTGCATCTTGCTGTGTGTTACCGCAAATGCACAGCAATGTGTGCACTACAGTGCATTGTTATTCATTTTGAACAGCACCCTAACACACTATTACAGTGCATGTGCATTGTAACACACCACAACACTCAAATGTGATGATCTGTGTGCTGTGCTGTGTTGCATTAGAAAAGGTGGCATACAGCATCTTTGGGGCATTGCGGCCCATTCAAAGTAAATGGGCGTCTTAACCCAATGTTATGTATTCCAGAATCCTGCTGCACTCCTTACCAGGTATCCCTGTCAGTCATTTCAAGCCTGATGAAGGGGACCCTGCGTGGCCCCCGAAACATTGCTATTTGTTTTGACATGAAGCGTCAATAAACAGACGCGTTCTTCACTTCAATATGATGTGCTGGTGACATCTTTAACAAGTTTAACCCAATGTTAAATGCACACTAACACTCATACATTAAAGTAATGCATGGACCTTTAACATGAACACTGTCAGACTTTGCTCAAAAGTTTTACATTATGTAATTAGCGAACTGCTGTATGTTTAAGCACTTACGTGGTAGAAAATTCAACTACAATAATATATTTAGATCTTCAGCTATATCACGACTATGATTTTTATGTATATGTTGTAGTTTTCAAATCTTCGTTTTTAATCTTGTATAATCTGTCTGTATATCTGTTTTCACAATAAAGGATGTCTCTGTATTGGAATATAAAGCCCCCCAGTTGGCTGCAGCTGCCCTAGCCTCTGTGTGTACCAAAAATCAAGATTCAACACTGTTACTGGATGTGGCTTGTGGAACTGGGCTTGTAGCTGAAGAGGTAATGAGCTGTGTGCAATACACTTTTCAACCACCAGGGAGCAGTACCAAGCTTCTTTTCTATAACTGCTAAAATTCAGTGCTAAGTCTCTGTCCCATAGCAAATAAATATTACATATAGAGTAAACTACAGCAGTCAACGTGCTTTGTGCTGTAGAGGTGACACTGGTAATATGTAAGCTTTGTGACGTTGAAAAAAAATTGTAATACTGTTTTGGAATTTTCATGGCAGTTATATATTTTAACAGCTATATATTTTACTGCTCAATGTCGTTCAAGCAATGCAAGACATTAAAATTATATTTGCTCACATATACCAGAAAAACTAGAAAAATGATCCCTGTACTGCAGTGTAGTCTGGTAAGTCCAGTGTCGGGACCAGTGGAGAGGACATGTGTTGGAATTGTATGGCTCCCCCATTGCAGCATTTATAACAGATTGCTGTTCAGTTTCTTGGGCGACGGTAGAGCAGTGGTTGTCAACCTAGGAGGCCTCAACGTTGGCCCCTGACAGCTCTGAAGTGCTGCACATAATATAAAGAAGACTGCCAGACATATTAGAGGAGATTGTCAGAGACTGAGGACATGCAGTATGTGTGGTTTTGTAGGTGCTGAGCCAAGATAATATCAGTGCGTGTCTGACTATTTTAATGTAAAATGTGTGTGAAATGAGTTTACATGAAAGCTATTCTAAAAATGTCACAATTGGAAGGAGAATTAAACTTGAACTAAAGAGAATTAAACTGATAAATATGGGGGATGCAATTGTTAACTTCTTTTAAAAGATGCTAGTTGCCTGGGTGTTATGTTGATCCTTTGCATTTAGTACTTGTTCTCAGGCCCAGTGCTACTGCAAGGCAAGGCAAGCGGCCGCCTGAGGGCGCTGCAGTGTGAGGGCGGAAAAAACAGGGCATTTTGACAAGTACTTGTACTTGTCAAAATGCCCCGATGCTTGCGCTATGTTTTTTTTTTTGTTCACTTACCTTCGGTGCGGGAGGTCAGCGGCGAGTCAGCGCTGATCTGGCTCTGCTTGTTCTGGGTTAGTGACTCAAAGTATTGAAGCCAGGGGCCAGCATGATGGACAGACAGCTTGAATTAGGAGAATGAGAATTCAGCAATGGTTAGCCTTCATGTTTCTTTCAGGTTTGTCTATCCAAAATGGATATATTATTTATAGCCGGAGTCTTACAGAATGAGTCACCTATTTGCTTCTTATATTTATTTGCGCCTCCAGCAGCAAGATCTGACTGTCATAGCCCCTGCTTCTGTTTCCATCTTCACCCTGGGGTGTTGCTGCTGTTTTTGTTGCACTGACTATACTAGAAAACACATTAAATACCAGCATGGGGTCAAGGACACACTTCCCGTGGAAATAAGGTCTTATCAAGTCTTATACATGAATCTTTTGGGTGGTTTAAAGTACATATAAAGCCAAATCTTTTTTTATATATTTTTTTTTAACCCCCTTCATGACTGAGGCCTTTTTTTTTTTTGCACCCATGTTATATTCCACATTTTGGGCCTGAACATTACTTGAAACCCCCAAACATTATATATTTTCTGAAAGCAAAGATCCTGTATAATAAAATGGTGGGAGTTGCAATTTTTCATGTTGCACGATATTAGCCCAACTCCTTATCAAACCCCAACAGTTAGTGAAAAATGCACTTAAATGCCCCAAAACACAATACAATACCCATTTTTTTAATAAAATATATATAAGATGTGGTTACAACGAGTAAATAGATACCCAACATGCCCAGATTAAAAATTGTAAGCGTCCGTAAAACGGCGACAAACTTCAGTACCCTAAAAAGTCCATAGACAATGCTTTAAAAGCCCCCACAGGTCATCAGTTTAGAACACCTGAAAATACTGGCCCTAGAATTATTGCCCTCATTCATGCATGCACGGGAATACCCAACATGTGTAGCGCGATCGTCGTTTTTATATGTAGGCGCACCCGACGCATGTTTACGTGAAGACGCGCGTGCTTGCGGGGGACTTAAAAAAATGTTTGTATTATTTTGACATTTATTTTATTTAATATTCATTTTAAAAACTATTTTTGGGGGGGTTTTTTTAACTTTACTTTAATTGCATTAATAGCAGATTAGTGGTGACAGGTACTTTTAAGGTAATGCTGGGGGTCCAAAAGTGCAGATCACATTTCAATAGCTTATAGCTGGGCTTCAGGAGCCCAGCACTGACAGCTATGGGACCGGAAGTGATACAATACGCGTCCATCTCCTCCCCAGCTTCCCCGACACCAAAGAAGCCGGCCCCGGGCCCGTAGAAGGGGCAACGGAGCCCGGGAAACACACAGCGTGGGTGTCGGGCTGGGGGGGGGGGGAGCACCCGTTCACCGGCCTGTAGAAGCGATCTGGCGGCAGCTGAGCCGCCAGAATCGCCTCTACTGTAAAGACGACAGTCGGCTTTACAATTTTAAATAGTGTCCCGGTGGCAAAAGCCGCCGGGAGTCTGTTTAAAAAGCCCTGTTGCTAGTGACGTACACTGTACGTCGCTGGTCATGAAGGGGTTAATAGAGTGGTGAGGGTTTAGATCCCCGGTCAGGTTTTTATATTTAGCTGTTTGACAGTTAGAGAGATTCACTCTCTCTATGTATATTGTGTATATTCACTGGGCCTGACAGTGAGGGAAAATCCAACATATTGAGATGAAACCAGAAGAAGAATAGAGGAAAGTCTTCTATGAGGACACTTGTCCCCGTGAACATTTGTCTAAGAAGGGATTTTTCTCAATTTGTAGTAATTTTCTCTAATTCCCTGTTGTCCTTCCTGGACAGGAAGTGAAAGTAATCCCCCAATGGCACACAGATGGCAAAAAAAAACTGACAGGGTTTTTAACCATTCCCTACTCCAGGGGTAGGTAACCTCTGCACTATAGCCAGCTGTGGTCAAACTACAAATCCCATAATGCCTCTGCGAGTCATGCCTGTGGCTGTCTGAGTCTTGCAGTGCTTCATGGGACTCATAGTTCCACAACAACTGGCATGCCCAGGTTGACTACCCCTGTTCTACTCCAGCCTAAATTTAAAAAAAATTTGACTCGCTAGCATCTACCAAAATGTGAAATTACATTTTTGGGTGAACTGACTATTTAATAAAGGCTCGCTTTGTGAAAGTAATTAAACTTATAGAGAATGCCTGTGTTAGTTAAAGGAGAACTATGATGTGAGTGCTTTTCACTCACCTCATAGTTCTAGCCGACCTGTGACAATGAGACTGTCACAGGTCGGCTCAGTAGATCGGGAAGTGAGCGAACACATACCGGCGTTCGCTCACTTCTCGATCCTGTCACGGCTCTCTGCCGTGACAGGGGAGGGACTGGATTCCCCGCTCCGAACCGCCAGCGCTGACTGGCGGAACGGAGAGGCAGAGCCAGCTGTCACTCACGCAGCTGGGCGGATCCCGACATAATTGTCAGGATCCGCTTCAGCTGCGAGGTCTCAGTATACCGTGAGCTGTAGCTCGCGGTATACTGAGCTTAGGGTAACGGGAGGGCGCTAGTTTGTGTCCTCCCGTTACCCTAAGCAGAACTATGGGGAAAAGCCCTAACCCCATAGTTCTCCTTTAAGTGGAATCAATGTTTAACTGGCCTACTTACTCTTTGCTGACTGTGCCCTCGGCTTCACAGTCTGCTGACCCATGTAATGATATATTTCTTCCATTTGGGGAATCCTGTAATCAGAACATGCCACCCATGACTGCTCATAAGAATGTCTGTTTACTCTGTCAGACAGGATACACATTATAAGATATGTGGCAGTCAACCTTATTCCTATGGAATGTTAGTATAATGGTGCCGGCATGTTTACTATAACTAGGCCTGTGCTTTTACACAGTTCTTGGAATCCTCTTATTTTCTTGGATGTAGCTTTGTTATTCATTTTTATATACAAGTGTAAAAAAATTAACATACGTAAAAGAAATAAAATGAGAAAAAGGGAATTCAAAAGTGGGACCAAACATAGCAAATATAACCTGCATCATTACTCACAGATAACAAGGTTGTCAGGAGTCTTGGAATCCTTTGTATTGAGAGTCAGGTTTTAGTTACCATCTGTGTCCCTGTTAAGAGGAATGACCGTCACTTTTTGACAGGATAGGAGATGATAGGAAGTCTTTCCAATGGGACACAGACAAAAAAACATTTCTAGTACAGTGACAACCACCTCTCTCACTTCATGTATTGGTGTCATAAGGACAGGGGGGGAGGGAAAAACTCCTCAGTAGGGTCTGTGATGTTTGGGGATATTAGTACATATAGGGAGCACTTTAAAAGGACACAGTCCACAAGATCTTCTTTTTAAGGGCTTAGTAGCCCACTTTTACATGAAAGTTTACACATCGGATACCCTCGCAAGGGTTGTTCAATACGTTGTCCATATACAACTTCAAAATAACCACAAGTTTAGCCTCCTGGCTTCCACTCTTAACATTCACATTTCTGACCCACCGGTCCTTAGTCTGTTTCTCCTCATACTGTTCCTCTCTGTAGTTCTGTCACGTACTTGTACTGGCGGCCCTTCAGGCTCTCGGTTCTCCCAGTCTCACAATTTCTCCCAGCCTCCCTGGCTGTCTTCTGGCTCTGACTTCTGTGTGGAGTCCTCCTGACCCCTGAACACTATGTTTCTATTTCCCAGCAGAAGCCCTGAGCCCTAGTCAGCACCCTTTTTCTTAAGGGCTGTCCACAGCTGTGCAATCATTGGGTGTTGGTTACTTCTAAACCCTGGACCCAGGACTGGAGATTTCTTCCCTCCTGAATCACTTTGACACTTCTCGTTTCCAGGATCTTCAGCAAAATCCAGAAAATCCGTAAAACTGAAAAGCCAGCTCTTTCCCTGAAATAAACCTTGCTTCCTGAAACCTCTCAGCCTCTGGGTGAGAGGTTTCAGGAGTCCTGGGTGATCATAATCCCAAATTTCACCGTGGGATTGGCACACAATACCACAGGTCACAGACAGAAATACCAATCTAACACAATGTGAACATTTTCATCCTTTTGAAAAAAAATGTTGCCCACAGACACAGCATGATTGTCACCCAATCCAGCCAAACACTGTCCAACCTTTCCAGATACTTCCCAGCTGAAAAATCTTGGGGAAGGAATTGATCACCAGGATGGATTTCCACCAACGTCACCAGGAATGTCTGCTCACTTAATACATTTTTACCCTTGGCTTGTATAAGAATGCATATTTATGCCATAATTGTTCTAAATAGGGATCGTTCAGCAGTTGGATCCTCTAACTGCTATCTAATGTCTATGGGCCCATTGAGATTTGCACAATTTTTCTTGGTTTGCACTGAAATGTCAAACAAGGCCACTTTAGGAGAGAAGCCAGTCTGGGACAAAGGAGAAAATAGGTACCCTTTATAGGGCACTTGTCTAAGTCACAACCGGCTGAAATCAGTCTCCTAAAATTGTCTTCTAAAATATTTGTGCTTTTTTTTTTCTTCAGCTGCAGCGTTTTGGGTTTACCCTATTTCATGGCTTGGATGGCAGTACAAGAATGCTGCAAGTTGCTAAGAATAAACAGCTCTACCAAGAATTAAAGCAATGCATGCTGGGACTGGATCCCCTGCCCTTTGATGCAGGTAAAACCATCATTGTATGCTGAGGTTATATACAGTGTTATTCCCCATTCACACCTAGGTGTCTTGTAGCTCAAAGCGCAATAAAACGCTTGAGACAAAGAATGCCATTCGCTTGTCTTGAGCACGACAAAATGCTCAATACAAGGAATCTCATTCATTTCATTTCTATGGCCCATGTTCAAGCCAGAGTGTTTTGTTGCATGGAGAAAAATACTTGTCCCTGGAAGAAGTGAGCCTCCTTTTGACAGATTACAGAGTTTTTTTGGTTCCATAGACTTCAATGTCATACAAGGCTTATCCCCCTAATCCCAGACCTAGCGCACCACACCCCCACACCCTGAGAATAGGTCAATAAAATCACAAAACATTGAATAGGGCTTTTCAAGGAGCACAAACCAGTGTATCCGTTAAAACAATGCATTTATTAATACATATTAAAACATGACTCAACGTACACAAGCTATTAAAATCTAAAAGCCAATGAACATAACAGATCATAATACAGAGCCTCCATATAAACGTCTCACAGGAAGTACCATTCCCTTAATATCCAGACAATAATGCAATACATTAAATGTTTGTACGGGGACAACTGCCCACCTGTTTCATTCATGTTAGAATATGAGTGTTTGTGCAGGACCTGGACGGATGTAAGGGAGGTTGACTAAAGAGACTTCTTTGGGAGGGAGATGCTTGTAGGCAATATTGAGCTTCAGAAAAAAATAACAAAATATGGGTAAATCTCAAGCTGAAGCTCAATATTGCCTACAAGTGTCTCCCTCCTGAAGAAGTTCCGACTGGCAGTGCAGCACTGCTCTGTCAGCATATAGCAGGCAGTAGCCCACTATATGCTGATTTTGTGTCACAGGAGTACATTAGTAAATATACTTTTGTGACCAAAAGAGAACCAAAGCCAAAAAAAAAGGTTTGGCTTTAGTTCTCTTTTATTAGAATTTCACTTTTTCTAATTGTGTTACATTTTATGTATAGGCAACGTGATGCTTAACACCCATTAGGAACATAAGTTTTATTTATTCATCTGTCTACTTTATGTTATATCTGCCTGTTCCTAAATCATTCTTCATATAGGAAAGTCTAAAGCTGGCCAAACACTGTTCGAAATGCGGCCGAGTCCTGCTGACTGATTCAAGCTGTCGGTGGCTGTTGGTACCACTCCATCCGACACAAGTCAATTTTTCAATTAAAGTATAATTAAACTCTGTTTTTTTGATAGCAGTAGATATATGCAAGAAGATTAAAAAAAATAAAAAAAGTTACCCAAAAGGTCATTACTTACCTCGGTCACCGCCGCTCGCTCACATCTGAAGATCTGGAGCTGCTCGAGCAGCCGAGCTGGATAATGGGGTGGGCGCATTTGCAGTAGAGGTCTTTGGCGGGGAGAAGAGGAGAGGCACAGGGTAAGTCAATGCACTCAGCCGGGAGCGTGCACGTCGGACAGACACCGAGGGACACAGAAATGACAGCAATCAGCACTGGATCAGAGACCGGCACCAGCGCTGGAGGGATTGCTGAATACAAGTGGAAGGAAGAAAATAACCGGCTCAAGAGACATCATTTAAGGTAAGTCCTTAAAGCAGCATGGCGGGGGAAGGAAACGTTTTGTGACTTTAATGTCACTTTAATTATTTGAAGAAGCCAAATGGAAAAAAATCACCAAGTGTATGGCCAACTTTAGTTGCATGCTATGTATCTGTAAATATTTTAAATATACTGAAAGTTCAAATTAGAGAAACTTGTGACAGATTAGCGCTACACTTTGCCACATTTTGCAAAGTATTATGGTGATAAGTTTGTTTCAGTAATCACCGTTACTAATCCTCTGTCTTTTTTACCAGAGAAATATGATGCTGTTATTATAGTAGGAGCTCTGAGTGATGGACAGGTCCCTGTGTCTGTGATCTTGGAACTGATTCGTGTCACTAAACCTGGTGAGAATAAATGTATTGCTGCATCCATAGAAGGGCTGGCAAGGGGCAAATGATTCAGCAGTCGGCTCTATCATATGTGTTTACAGTCGGAAGAAATGTATACATGCACCTGTAATCAGTTTCGACAAGTGCTGTGTGTCTATATTTATCTGTTAGAGTAAAATATAAAAATTCCAGATTTACGCAAGGAATTCCGTTCGTTGTTACAAAAGATTTCTATTTCAATGAAAGAAAAAGTCTTCCCAGTATCTAGATATGTTGGACCTACTTTACAGTAAGTGATATCTTGCACATACTGTATATGTAACTGTAGTGTAGGAAAGGCTTCCTTGGCCAGAACCCAGAGTACTTTATTTTAATTTAAGAACATTATGTACATATGTCAAGCCAAAAACATTTTTTTAAGTTTTGGATAGAGTGTTATAATAATAAGTGTGATAATAATCTGGGGCTCACTTAAAGGGATTTACACAAACATCCTCTCCTGCTGACAGCAGTTTCACCAGACAGAAAGTAAATTCTAATTCGGAATTAGAAAATATGACAGGGGTTCTAGCCTCTTTTTATATCTGTCTGTGTCAGGAACTGAGGGAAAACCTTGCTAATGAAATCTTCATTCTATCCAAAACTAAGAAAATATGTTTTTGGTTGGCCATACAATTTTAACACCTATCTACAAGCAATCTTTATAGTAACATGCCACAGCGCAATGCCCTTAAAATCTTCTGTTAACTATCAGAAGAAACTTTGGGTAGATGTTGGCTCTCAATCTCTGCTGTTTCCAATGGGAACCAATCACAAAGGTTCCAAATCATGTGATCATTATATCAGCTATGGCATAATAACCACATACCGGCTGGAGACTTCAGATAAACACTGCTGCCTTCGATAAAAAATAGGAAAGTTAAGAAAAAAATAACATTATTTTAAAGAAAAGAAAAAAAAACAGTTGGGCGGAGCTAGCAGTGACAGCTAGCTCCACCCAACTGTTTCCTATTGGCCTGCACCATAGCCCATACAGCAGCCATTCAGTTCGACTGAACCACCGAAGGGCAGAGGCGGCCGAAGAGAGCCGAAGGATCAGTCGAAGCTATGGCTGGATCCTTTGGCTCTTTAGTGAATAACTCCCCAAATGTGATAATTTAGTCCTAGGTGGTACTTGTTTGGTAAGTCAGCCCCTGTCTTCTTATATGTCTTGGATACTCCAACAGTGAGACCCCCTTGCCATAATTACCACCTTTGCCGGTTCCAACTCTTGTTGCATTTTCCATAAAGAGTTGGGTATAGATAGTAATTTCTGAGGTGCCTGCTATGACACCAAAATGTGATCATTTAGTTCTAGATGGTACTTGTTTGGTAAGTCAACCCGTGGCTTCTTATATATCTTGGATACTCCAACAGTGAGGTGTCCTTGCCATAATTACTACCTTTGCTTGTTCCAACTCCTGTTGCATTTTCCATAATATAAGATAACTGAAACAACCCAACAGAAGAGTGAGAACCTCTGTTATTGGACACAGCAGGTCCGGAACTCAGGCACAGATATCTCATCAACAGAGTCCCCGTGAGAGGAGATTTGGGAAACTGAAATAGTGATAGTGACTCTTTAAAGGAAATCCTGAGAACTCATAGCAGACCATTAGAAAATAGCCTTTGCCTTGCATCGTGGGTAGACTAATGAAATATAGGTTCTGGTTTGCTGATGTACATTGTCATTCTTTGCATCTCGCTGTCTTCGTTCAACAGATATATTTTGTTTCTTGCTAAATGTGTCCTCTCTGTCATGTCTAGGTGGTTTAGTATGTCTAACCACTCGCAGTAACGTCTCTAACTTGAAGTACAAAGCTGACCTAGAAGAAGTCATGTCTGCTATGCAAAGCAAAGGACTGTGGGAACAAGTCTCTGTACAGGAAGTGGAGCAGTGGGAGAAAGCTGTATCAGAAAAGGAAGTCACATTGGAATCTGATTATATACCTGGTGTCATATATATTTACAGAAAAATGGAGACCTTTGATATTACATAGACATATGGCATAGTTTTTTAATAGCATTTCGTAGGCCATGATGTATATTTTTGTAATTTCATTCATTTGAAAAATATACTCGGTCAGAAAATCTTTAATGTTCAACATCCAGAGAGTTTTGCATGAATATTTTGTTTTTTAGGTCCTACTGCTGATTGGTATTATTGTGAGATTTGGTAGATAAATAATAAGTTCTGCCTAATGCTAAGGATTGTTTTTTTTATGCTTTGTTAATTATTATGGTATATAGTCAATGTTATTCTAAACTTACCAAATGAGCTATTTAGAATATGAACATAACTTTACCACCACCTGATCAATCTACTTTTCAGCTGTACAAACCGCCAAACAAGAGAAAGGAGAGCCTTATAACTCCTCAACTCCCCTGCCCCCCTTCACCTCTACAGCAGGGGTTCTTAACCATGGGTATCCAAAACCTTTAGGCTCAGTTCACACCTAGGTGTTGCGGAAACCTGCGCAAAAAAAGTGCATCTTGGCCGGGCGTTCCAAAAACACACAAATGAAATACACTCGCATTGTCATTACTAGTTAATGGCACCCCAAATGTTCTGCATGTTAAAGCGCACACAAGCGTGAAAGAAAAAAACATAGAACGCACGTTGCAGATTTTGCTACATGCTCGACATTTCTGGGTTTGGCTCGCGTATAGGAACCCATTGAAATCAATGCGGACGCACAGCAAATGTGGAGCACAAATGCCTAGGTGTGAATCAAGCCTCAGAGGTATGGGAACCAAATGATGGGCATATGAGGCTGGATCTCTAAAAAAAAATAAAAAAATATCTATATATTTTCTTGTAGCTGTTCTCTTCCTATCTATCCTTATGTAAAGTAATAAACCCAGCCATAAACCAATATGTAAGTAAAACCAAGCTATTTACATACTGGTACCTATAAGACTGGTGATGATGATTACTTTCACAGTCTGGCAAAGTGGTTATGGGAACATACTGCATTGGGCAATCCATTGGGGGGTCTGTAATAGTAAGAAGGTTTTAAACCTGCGTTTCACATTTCTTTCTAAATTTAGGCAAACATACCTACAGGTAGAAAAGGGGAAAAAGACTTGAATTTGGGTGGTCACTTACTAAAGTCAGTTAGGCTGTTCATTTTTCAATGGACTTTGCACTTTGCAGGGGATGTTTCCCCTTAGTCTAGTGAATGAGATGAAGCTCTGCTGGCTTCTATCACCCAATCAGGTGCAAACAAATATACAAGTTTTGTTATATTTTTGTTGCACGTGATTGGCTATTCTTTACAAAGTGAAAATTCACCACATACACCAAGCTAAGGGAATTTTCCCCCTGCAAAGGGCACATTTCCCTTGCAAAGTTAACAGCCTGTTTGCCTTTAGTAATTCAACCCCTTGATGTTACCTAATCCTGCTGCCTTGAGTACTGGCCCACAAATCCTATACTGGTAAATAAAGCCCTAACCATGTTTAAATTGTCTTTTTCCTACAACATATCAAAGATCTCTTTATATGAGTTTTCTCTAGGATGGATAAACATTACCAAAGCCGGGGCTCTATTAGGAGAGAACATCCTGAAATTGTGTTTTATTACCTGGCAGGAAGGTCATATCTGAATAGAAGCTAAAGTCCCTGTCAAATGTAAACACAGCCACATTATCAGCGTATTAGTTGTAGGGAATGTCCTGCTCTGAGTGAATTGTCCAGTACTGTCCCATCAGATATACCCAGCAATTAAATCAATTACTCATTCTTCAAATGAGGTGACAACAATTTATAGTCAATAGTACATCAATCTAAATGTTGTCGTTTGCACTGGAAGACCCATTTCAGAATAATGCAACAGACAAAACAAGTCAGAAATGTGCCAGCTGCAGAATAAGGGAATGTTACCTGAACTTCTAAAAATGCTATTTCCTGGATGTTATGCTGACCCTCTGGCTTCAGTGCTTTCTGAATCACTGACCTGGAACAAGAATGCCAATTAGCGCAGTCAGAATAAAGAAATCCTCATCAGCAGACTTGTTTAAAGTGATTACTATTGAGGCTAAAGAGTCAGCATGACAGCCAGGCAGAATGAGAAGTTTCCTTTTAGAAGAACCTTTTCTCAAGTGTGTAAACACTGTGGTACCTTTATAATTTGCTCCATCAGCTGCTTCAAGCCCACTATTTTCCCCTAAGGCCTCATTCACACGAGAAAAAGCCGGCACGTACAGCTCCGTGCTGCGTGCATGGCTGCATCAGGCAGCTCCTGGGAAGGACTGGTGCTACGTGTGGTTAGTACGCAGCCCGTCCTCTATGGGAATAAGCGGCCATGCGCCACCCTACGTTCACCCGCCCTGCACGTCCGTGCGGGTGTCCGTACTCGTACGCTGATAGGATGGATCCTGTCTGCGTCCAAGCCGGGACACCCGCACCCGTATGGACCTGCACTTGGGGTGAGCGTAGGGCAGTGTACGGGCACGTACTCCCATAGAGAAGGACAGGGTCTTTACCTGTATGGATTTACCTGTATGAAGCCATTATTAATGTGGAATTTATGTCCATTACAGACCTCAGCATGTATGATTGGTTATGAAGCCAGCCGATTAAGCAGTGGCATACTAGAAGAAGCTGCATTACATCTTCTGCCAGTACTAAATACAGTTTCCTGTATTAGTGAACTCCTAACTCAGGGATCACAGTGACATACAGATTTGGATATTCCAGGTTCCAGCATGAAACCAATTCCTGGCGATTGCTACGGGTGTATTTTGCTTTTAAGGCCTCATTCACACTGGAGCACAATTTGGGATTTATTTGGCAGGAACCTACAGAGTCCTGCGGCAGGAATTCCAGATGTTCCGTTTAGATGCACCTGCTGTACCCGTTCAAGTTAATGACCTGATGACATCGCCTACATCTATAGTATTATATATACTGTAATTACATGTGGTTTGGAATAGATCACTGTCGCTAGACACCTCTATCCTGGACAACAATCTAGTCCAAACCCCATGTAATCACATCATATACAATTACATGTGGACTGCTGCTTACAGATGCGGCCACTGTCACCCAGTCAACTTGAACAGGTACAGCGGCTGCATCTAAACGGAAAATCTGAGTCTCCGTAGGTTCTTCTCGCAGGACTCCCAAATCACCCAGTGTGGATGAGGCCAAACACTAGCAGTGACTGTCTCACCTGTGACTGACATACAGATAGCCTGTGGGATTAATATTTACCTACAGGCTGAGTAACACACTTAATGTCCTCCACTGAGTTTCAGTAGAAATAGGGCTGTGCTTAGATTTTGTGCATTAGACTCAATTACCCAGCTGCACTTCAAATGCTGGTTACAATTTGTTATCAGTTTTATTACAATGTATTGCAGCATGTAATAATATTCTTGTGCATAGATTGAGGAATGTGTATGCATGGGTGGGTTGCTGCTGATGGAGGGTGCAGCAGTTGGACAGGCGGCTGTGTTAGAGCTGTGCCTGTCAGCAGCTCTCTGTCCGGTCCCCTCCAGTTCACTGACATCACTGGTTGCCAGAAGCTCAGCGGGATGCCATCTAAAGCTTCCCGCTGAGCTCCCTGGCAACCGATGACATCAGTAAGCTGAGCGGGAAGAGTGTCACAGGTTGCTAGGAGCTTTTAGCAACCTGGGATGCTGTGGCTGCCCCACCCACAGTGGCCGCCCCCCTAATGAGATGCCACCCGAGGCGGCCGCCTCAGGCTGCCTCATTATATAGACAGCCCTGATTATTTTTATTCTGCATATGGCCTTATAGTGACTAACATTTTACAGGGTTCTTCTGGGCATCTTTTTGTATCAATGTGTGCCGGCAAGGCTTCAGGTAGGCCAGTAAGCATGGCAGCTGTTGTGAAACTACAAATCCCTTCAGGGACTTGGACAAAGACAGTGTGTGTCCAAATCAGGTTTAGGTCGGCATGCAGTCATGTCTTTTCATAGGGAGTTACAGGCGGCTGCAAGTAATTACACCTCAGGGGCAGGGCCCTCTTTACCGTCTTGTCTTGATTTGTATTGTGATTGTAATGTCTTCCCTATATTGTAAAGCGCTGCGCAAACTGTTGGCGCTATATAAATCCTGTATAATAATAATAATAATTACACGCAGCACCTGTCCTTCCTGTGATGTGTGCCGGCAAGGCTTCGTGTAGGCCAGTAAGCATGGCAGTTGTTGTGAAACTACAAATCCCTTGAGGGACGTGGACAAAGACAGTGTGTGTCCAAATCAGGTTTAGGTTGGCATGCAGCCAGGTCCTTCTATAGGGAGTTACAGGCGGCTGCAAGCAATTACACGCAGCACCTGTCCTTCCTGTGAACAGGTCTCTGCACGGGCGTGCATGCTGTATGGATGTGCATGCCTATACGAATGAGCAGTGCCCGCGGCCAGAGGTCTGCCGTGTGTTGGTTCTGGCCTGATGTCTGCCATGCGTTGGTTCTGGTCTGAGGTTTGCCGTGCGTTGGTTCTTGTCTGAGGTCTGCAGTGCCTTGCCTCTGGTCTGTACAGCCATCATTCCTCAACTATGCAGAATCTTCAGGGGTGGGCAAACTCTGGCTCTTTAACTGCGGTGGAGCTACAAGTCCCATGATGCATTGCAAGACTCTTTCACAGGCATAAAATCAAATGTGTTGCGATATGCCTAAACCCCCCCCCCCCCACCCCTTTTTATAAAAATTAATATAGATT